CACTGCAACCTCTGCCTCCTAGGTTTAAGCAAGTCTCCTGCCTCAGCCTCCTGAGTAGCTGGGATTACAGGCACCCACCACCACACCCAGCTAAGTTTTGTGCTTTTAGTGGTGATGGGGTTTCACCACGTTGGCCAGGCTGGTCTCGAACTCCTGACCTCAGGTGATCTGCCTGCCTCGGCCTTCTAAAATGCTGGGATTACAGGCATGAGCCACCGTGCTCAGCCTCCCTCATTCTTTACAAAAATTTTTAAAAAACCAAAAAAACAAAAAAACAAAACAGGGGTCCAAGAGGATATGTGTGAAGACCACTATTCACTGTAAACAACCCAGAGCAATTATTCTTGGAATGTGTATGGCCTCACAAACACTATGCCCTACACATACACACCGCACACTGCTAAGACTGGTTCCAAACACCTGGCTACATTATTTTCCCTTCAGGCTGAGAGCCTGAGGTTTCACTTGGCCACTGGCCACGGCAGGATTGTTCCATGTTATTTTTTTTTTCTTTTATTTTCCTTTATTGGGGCAACAATGCTGCAGCTGAGCCTCTGTAGAAAGAGAACGACATTCTTTCCATTTTTTTTTTAAGAGAAGCAGTTAAAAATACACATTGGTACGTACTGCAATTATCATTCAGAATAAATACAGGAACGGTGACATTAACTAATGGGAGTGCAGCAGCTGCCGGCTTGTTGAAAGCCATCCTCAGCACAGTGCGGAGGTGTCCAGTGGTAATTGCTCCTTTAGTCTATCTGTCTGATGTCACGAGGGAATCCACTGGGTAAACCCAAGGCTGCTTTTTACCTCAGCATGGCCCAGAGTCAGCTTGTCCTCAATAAGGTGTTTGTTGGCAAGTGGGTAAAAAGCTACAATATGATCATGATTTCATTAACTTAAACTTTAGCAGTGCCTTTGATTAGCTGGAATTGGCCAACAGAAGACTCAAGGAAAACAGATAACAGAATAATTAATAAGAGGCACTAATGTTAACTGAAAACCAACCAAATGCCAGATAGCACCAGGCACTTGACCAGGTCTTTAATCCTCTGACCAATCTGCTGAGAAGCAATGCCGTGCAACTTGTAGAAATGGGGCTTGGAGCTGGGAAATGACCACCAGCTTACACTTCGGCAAGCGGCAGGCATGGACTTCTCTCCAGCCCAGCCCAGAGTGTCAGCATCATGCCTTGCACTCTGGGTGCTTAGATGACTGTTTTACTCATTTATTGATTCTCTCATACCCCCCATTCTAAAAAGGAATGGGGATGTCTTACAGAAACTCCACAAAACTAGAGAGAATATGCATTCCCAGCTGGGTGCGGTGGCTCACGCCTGTAATCCCAACATTTTGGGATGCCGAGGTAGGCAGATCGCTTGAGCTCAGGAGTTCGAGAGCAGCCTGGGCAACATGATGAAACCCTGTGTCTACCAAAACTACAAAATCTTAGCTGGGCGTGGGGACGTACATCTGTGGTCCCAGCTACTTAGGACGCTGAGGAGAGGGGATCGCTTGAGCTCAGGGCGGAGGTTGCAGTGAGCCAAGATCGCACCACTGCACTTTAGCCTGATCAACAGAGTGAGGCCCTATCTCATTAAATAAATAAATAAATAAATAAATAAATAAATAAATAAAAATGCATTCCCAAAAGTATCTAGTGCAGAAGTTGGGGCTAGAGCTTTCTCATGAGAATCTAGCAGTCAAAGCTGCAAGATCCATGATGTAAGTGAGGAAAAAAGCAAACAGCAGAAAAGGTGGGGAGGGCACAGCAGGATACATGCTTAAGGCATGCACCCCTTCTTAGACTCTATCTTAGACACCAATGGAGTGCTACAAAAGCCGTAGACCGTGTATTAAATCATTTATTTTCATTCTCCACAGAGTCTTGCACCTACTGAATCACAGGTGATGCAATTTGCTCATCTGTAAATAATAATATCCACTTCAAAAGAATACTGTGAATGTCATTAGGCAACACATGTCAGCATGTCAATGGCTCAGCACACGCCTGCCATATGCGAGGGCTTAACATAAATGTGACACAAGGTTATTAACTTGGGTTAAAATTGTTTAAAGCAGACGAAACTGCTAAAGGTTACATAGTAGTGGGATGACATGTTTCAGCACTGGCCACCTGTGGGAGAAGTAGAAGAGGAAAGAGAGAATAGAAGAGGGAAAGGAAGAGGGGAAGAAGGCAAGAAATAAGAAGAGAGGTGAGAAACGAATGGGAAATGGGAAAATCAGAGGAGGACAGGGAGAAGGGAGAGATGGAGTGGAGAGAAAGAAGAGGGAAATGAGAAGTGAGGAAGAAGATGAAGGGGAGGGAAGAAGAGGGGAGGAGACCAAAGAGATTATCAATCTGATCAGAAACAGGAGCCTCTGCTCCTGAAGATTCCAGAGTGGGAGGAGGAAGAGGGAGTTCCCCCATCTTACTGGGCCTCTCCCCAGGCACAGACGCCACATGTCTGTCTACTTCACTATTGTCCTGTCACCTCCTCCCGTGGAGAACACCTGAGCTCCTCTGTGCTTTGGTGATATGGAAATGGTCCTTCCCTCTGCCTCTCAGAAGCTGGGCAGGACCAATCTCTATCCACTCACCCTTTCATTTACTCAAAAAATGACTGTAGATACCACAGCAAGCAAACAGATGAACCCCGCCCTGGTGGAGATGATGCACTACTGGAGGACGCAGGCAGAGAATTGGAAGTTACAACATGGGGTGTAAAATCTTTGACAAGAAAAGCCCAAGACAGGAACCAAACCTAGAGGAACATGGGAAGTTCCCCAGAAAAAGAAATCAATGCCCCCAGAGAGACGGAGGTTCCCTTGGAGTCTACCCACAAAGCGAGAGCTGAGAGCAGAACACAGGGAGGAAGCAGGATGTGCAAATCTCGGAGTTCAGCAGGAACGTGGCAGATCCTGGAAACGGAGAGAGAATGGCCAAAGCTAGAACACAGGGCTGTGCTGGACAGGGTTGGGGAGGATCTCTAGCAGGAAGCAGAGACCAGGAAGGGATGGCCTCGGAGAGGACAATGAGAAGCTAGACTTCTAAACCGTGTCTTATCGAAGCCTTTTGTAATGAGACAAGAAGATGCTCTTGGTTGTTTTGTTTTGTTTCCAGGAACAGCCTCTGATGGCAGTACAAGAGGGGACCAGGCTGGGGAAGGAGCCAGAAGATATTGTGAAGGCTGTCACAGGCAGTTCAACAGGACCTAGGGAGAGTGCAGGGTGCTGGGGAAGATATCCAAGGACTGGCTACTCAGTCCTTGTTGGACTGTATGTAGTATTGGGTGTTGGGTTGTGGGGAGATGCAGAGAAAGTCAAAGACAACTCTAGGGCTTCAGGTCTGGACAAGTGGTGGAGGGAGATGCTGTCCCTGACACAGAGAAAGAGAAAGAAGCTAGTTGGTCTTATACAGGTTTGTGGTCTTATGGGAAGGCCATGTAAATTACTCAGAGAAGATGGATATTTGGGTCTAGAATAGAGGTCAGCAAACTGTGAAAATGGCCAAGGAGAGGACGTTTTTGGTTTTGTGGGTTGTACGATCCTTGCTACAACTACTCACCTCCACTGTTGCAGCTAGAACGCAGTCACAGAGGATGCATAAGCCATTGGATGTGGCTGTGTTCCAGCCAAACAGATTTACCAAGGTGGTGACAGGCTGGATTTGGCTAGAGGGTCACTGCTTGCTGACCCCTGATTGAGAGCATCAGATAGATGTCTGGGCTGGAAACAAATATTCAGGGAAAGTGATTTGAAGTAATGAGTGTGGATTATATAGAGAGACATAGATTTAGATATATCTATTAAGACATATACTCTATTTTTCTATGTATAGATATATAGATGTTGAGAGATTTATTTTAAGGAATTGGCTCACATGACTATGGGCCTGGCAAATCTGAAGTCTGCAGGGCTTGGTAGCAGGCTAGGAACTCAGGCAGGAGTTGATGCTGAAGTCTTGAGGCAGAATTTCTTTCTTTCCGGGAAACCTCAGTGTTTGCTTTTACGGCCTTCAAGGAATTGGATGAGGCCCACCCTCATTATCGAGGGTGATCTGTATTCCTTAAAGTCAACCGCATCTGCAAAATATCTGCCCAGTGCACCTGGATTAGGTTTCAATTAAATGACTGGGTACTATATAGCCTAGCTGAGTGGATACATGAAAGTCACCATCACAGGGGTCATCTTAGAATTCTGCTACTCCACTTTTGTAAGTGGCCGCATCATGCTAATAACCCATGTTGTGGTTATGGTCAATGAAGACCCCAATATGTTAAGGTATCATTTCTGTTTTGATCCTAGATGCCCCAAGTGCCCATATCTATATCTATATCTGTATCTATAGATACATAGATATCTGTTGCCCAGGCTGGAGTGCAGTGGCATGATCTTGGCTCACTGCAACCTCTGCCTCCCAGGTTCAAGCGATTCTCCTGCCTCAGCCTCCCAAGTAGCTGGGATTACAGGCATGTGACACCACGCCCGGCTAATTTTTGTATTTTTAATAGAGATGAGGTTTCACCATGTTGGTCAGGCTAGTCTCGAACCCCTGACATCAAGTGATCCTCCCACCTCAGCCTCCCAAGCTGCTGGGATTACAGGCATGAGCCACTGCACCCGGCCCAGTGCCCATATCAATATCGATGTTCCAGGTTATGTCTGCCTTTGTCCAAGAGCAGAACGGCATTCACTGCTCTTTCCCTGCCTGGAAAAGCCCCATTAAATGCCTCTCAGGTAAGATGGCCACCCAGCGTCCTCCCTTCTCTGAGGCTAATGGGTTCAGAAGGTTGTGAAAGGGGTCACAAACTTCCTGCCTCCTTCCTCATGCAAGCCCTGGTCGTGAGTGCCTGCGTATCCGCAGTGGAGGAGCCCTGCGCGCTGGCAATTCTTCAGTGGGAGAAAGGCATTTGCAAAGCCTAATAATGGCACCATACATATGTATACATTTTACACAAAGCCCGTTTATTTTAAAAAAATCAATTTCTCTCCTACAGATGGCACATTGCATAAAGAAACGCGAACCCAGCAGCACCCCTGCCAGCGGCAATTCTGAGCGCTCATTTCCGTGTTGCCAAGACATTACATGGGAAGGCATGTGCGTTTAAGGGCATCCAATTGTTTCTGTACCAGAACAGCAGCAACATCCTGGGCAGGCCTTTCCTCTGGAGTTCATGTGCAGGTCGTACTGATGCACAACACGACCTAAAGGGACCATGGAGGAGGAAGGGACCCTAAATCCAGGCCAAATGGGAGCAGGGTTGTCCTCAGGTAAGTGCATGTTTGAGGTAAGATGCTACTAGCACGAGGGGAGCAGAAGCCTCCCGGAAACATCCACACCAGTGGCAACCATCATCAAAGGTGAGGCAGAGAATGACAGTCACAGTCACAGTGACAGAGTAGACATTTTTTGCAATGAGATCTTGGGATGGAAAGGAAGCAAAACACACTCTCATCCTGCAGCCTGCTTTCCCTGAAATGCTGCAGAAAGGAGGAAAATTTGTGTTGAGGGCCTCCAGACCATGAACAGGCAATGATCTCTAGAAGGTAGAGCAGAGGGAAATCAAAAAGATGACAGATATAGGGTCAAGAACCAGACACATAAAATAAGAGTCTGGTGTCCACACAAACATCATAGTATTTTGTATCAGTCTGAATAAAAGAGGTTGTGCTGTGTAACAAATAATGCAACATCTCAGTGACCTAAAGCCACCGACTTTTACATTTTACACAAAGCCCGTTTAATTTAAAAAATCAATTTCTCTCCTACAGATGGCACATTGCATAAAGAAACGCGAACCCAGCAGCATCCCATATTAAGGGCAAAAATAAGCATGAAAAGGAGAGGGAGAGAAAACAAAAATCAAATAACCAAGAAGGTCAGATAACCAAGAAGGTCAGAATAACCAAGAAGGTCAGAATGAAGACAGAGAGGGACAGGGGCTGATGAGAGGGTGTAGAGGGCCCACCTGTCCCACGCCCTTGCCACATGAGGTGGCTGATCAGAGGGCAGCCTTGCAGGGGATTGCAGCTGCAGAAGAGCTGTTCAGAAATGCAGAGCTGTCCTTCCAGGCAGCCCTAGTCCTTCCCACGCAGCTTGAGCCTTAATTTAGGAATGTGGTCCTCAGGCCTCAAGGCCTCAGGCCTCAAGGGGACCACCTCTGCACACTGTGGTGCCAGGGCCCCAAAGCCTGTGGGGCTGGTGGTGAAGGAGGAATCTGAGGTTCAACCTGGGGACCAGGAGGGTCATCTCAGCCTAAGGATCCGCCCTGCAACGCGGCGCAGAGACTTGTCCTCCTCACCCGGCCACGCAGGATCACCCCCAACACACACACTCCAAACCATGTGTCTCCCTCCTACCTGACCACGGCAACACCCGCTCTCAGAACCCACCCACTGAGAATTCACTACCAAATTTGAGAATTAAAGCAGGAAGGGCCTTCATGGAAGAGAAGAAAGTCTTTCTGTTTGTCTGTTTCTTGCTCAGTAACCAAATGCATCTCAATAATAAAATAACCCAGAGGGAAGGAGCATCAGGAAAATGGGTTTATTTATGGTTTCTAGCCAGGACTGTACTTAAGTTTTTCTGATATTCATAATTAGTTGAGGAGGGAAAGATCACTGACCTTTCAAGCACCATGTCTTCATTAGGCATATGGTCCTTAGGCCTTGTGGGAACTGCCTCTGCACCTGTGGTGCAGGTGCCCTAAAGCCCATGGGGTTGGTAATGGAGGAGGGAAAATCTGAGGTTCAGCTCAAGAATCGTGTGCTCTGGGAGAGGAGATACCCAGGGCCTGCATGCTGCCTGTGACCATCCACAAGCTTTGTGTCTCTGCACAAGTCCCTTAGCACCTCTGAGTCTATCTCCTCAGCTCTAAAATAGAAAACAAGAAGAAGCTGGATTAAAGGCTGGCAAAGGCCCCTTCCCACTCTAAATAACATACTGTTATGAATGCCAGGATTTGGGCCCCATTTTATACCAGTCTAGAGTATGCTAAAAAACTTCGACACCTTATCCTCTCCACCTGGGCTACACTTGACCTTTCCTCTCATGTAGGCAAGGTCCCTGGAGGCAGACTCCACGTCCCACCTTGATATGGTTTAGTTGTGTCCCCACCCAAAATCTCATCTTGAATTATAATCCCTATAACCTCCATAATTCCCATAATTCCCTTGTGTTAAGGGAAAGACCAGGTGGAGGTAATAGAATCATGGGGGCGGTTTCCCCCATGCTCTTCTCATGATAGTGAGTGAGTTATCATGAGATCTGATGTTTTTATAAGGGGTTCTTCCCCGCTTTGCTTGGCATTTCTCCTTTATGCCGCCTTATGAAGAAAGTGCCTTGCTTTCTCTTCCCCTTCCACCATGATTGTAAGTTTCCTGAGGCCTCCCCAGCCATGCTGAACTGTGAGTCAATTAAACCTCTCTTTTCTTTGTAAATTATCCAGCCGTTGACAGTTCTTTACAGCATTATGGAAATAGAATAATATACCCCTCCTACATCCTCCCTCTGACTGTCCAGAAGTGGAGATGCACCATAGATATTCTTTCAAGAGTCATCTTGAGACTACACAAACGACAAACCCTTCTAGGCCTCAGTGTTCTTTGTTCTTGTCAGCTTTACTTAGATACGTTAATTCACTTGTAATAAGAGTTCACATTTTCTTGACACTTGCTATATGTCAGGCATTGCTTTAAACAGGTTCCTTTTTCTAAACTTTCTCATATTCAGTCCTCCGTAATGTGATGAGTCAGATGCTATTATCGTTAACCCCATTTCACAGATGAGTTCACTGAGACACAGAAAGGTAAGTACCTTTCCCAAGGTCATACCTCTAGGGAGGTGAGCAGCAGGACCCAAACCTGCAAGTCCAGCTTGACAGCCTATGCCCTTCAATTTCTATTGATCTGTCCACCCACCCACTTCTAGAGGCTTCGCTCTGCTCATGCCTCTTCCTTTCTTCTAAAGGTCAGCCACCATTTCTCTGCTCAGGATTATACAGTGTCTTTGTTTCAAGACAGTTGCTATCTGTGTACAACTATGGCCTCCCATCATCTCTCAAAACAAAAGCCTGAGAATAGGAGAGATGAAAATGCAACTTTTGTAAGATTGTGTGTGTGTGTGTGTGGCAGGGAGGCCAAGGACTCTGTGCCAATGCCAGCTGTGAATGGAGCTGGGGGTCTCCACTGTGTCCCTTCCTCATCCACTAAACCCCAGCAGGCCAGCTCTATTGCAAGAAACTCCACTCTAGCCCAGAAGATATTTTCTAATTTCACCTCCTTGGAGTTTTCATTTCAGCAATGAATCTTATCAAATAGCTATTGCTCCAGAAGCATTTTCAAAAAAGAAATGAAAACCACGATCACCAAGGAGAGGAAACAGATGCATTTTATGCAGTTGTAAAAGTGAGGAGACCAAAATCACTCTCCTACCCGGAAAATATGCTCTTGTTGGCCCCTGATCCAGGCTTCCCTGTGTTTCTGACATCAGACAAAGAGCAGCAAAGGATTTTACCCAGTGATGCCTGTCTGCAGTCTCCTCGGGCCCCATCTCTGCCCTCACTCATCTCTGGAAGACCAGGTCTGGTGGAATGAGCATCTGTCCATGGCTCCATTTCCTCCCCTGTCAGATGATGAGACTAACACCTGACCTGCCGGCGGTCACCAGTGTGAAATCCACGTGGCATGCAAAGTCTACCAAACAGCCCGGAGCACCGGAGGGTGTCTGTGAATGACAGTTGAATTCAAATGGAAAAGGATCCTGAGAATGAATATGTTTGATGAGCTCAAATTGGGCAAATTCTGGCTACCAGGTGGTTGTTTAGATGCTATCTGAGAAAGAAATCCATCTCTTCACTCAGAGTTTGCAGAAATATAAAAAGACAAATATGCATATAACCAGTGCTAACTCAGACACAGGGAGATTGTCTTGTTATTTCAGGCACAACCAGAGTAGTTTCTGCTGTGGCCGTTGAACACTTTGCTTGTAGAGTCTCAGATGAATGGCAAAATACAGAACATCCCTGAGATCAACAAACATAATTATGCAATCATAACTTTCATCTATGGAGCACCTTCCATGTGTCCCGCATTGTGTTCATATTAGCTCCATTCATCCCAAGAGCTCTTTCATGCTTCCCATTGCAAAGATGAGGAAATTGACCTCATTTGCTCAAAAATAGAAAACGTGGCTGGATCCAGTGTCCCTAAGGTTCATTAGAGATGGGGGATCATCATTCCCTTTTCCTAGGTGAAGAAGCTGAAGTGGTTTGTCCATCTGAGCCAGTCAGGAATGGAATCTGGTCTACATATTAGGTCTTGCTGACTCCAGACCCCATGGCATCAAGGACTATTCACCAGCAAACTCAGCCCCTGATGAAGCCCATGATGCAGCAAACCAGGACCCTAACTCGGGGGTCAGGTGAACCTTCCACAGCCCAGCAGCTTGGTAGGAGAAACCTGCCAGAGGATGTGAGCACAGATGCTGAGGACAGTCCTGGAGCGCTCTTTCTGTATCAGCAGTTCAGAGTCCCGGTGTTGCTGAAGGAGAGGTGCCATAGCAGAGATAAAATATGAGGTGCCATGGGGATGCAGATAAATGAGTCAGAAGTGGGGGCCTCAGGAGGGAAGCAGAGGTTTAGCCATGGCGACCTTGACTTTGCCCAGGACTGCAGACTCTGTGCTGCCCATGATGGGGAGCCTTTGAAGCAAGGATCCGGCAGGGTCAGGTTTGTGGGTTAGAATGAGCTCTCCGCAGGAAGCGTTGAGGGTGCAGGAAGCTGGGTCTGCGTGGAAGAGGATTGGTGGCCCGAGTTGCAAGGAGACCTTGGGAAACAAAGAACTGTTTGGCTTTTTTCTTTTTATGTTTTCTTTCTTTCTTTTCTTTTTCTTTCTTTTTTTTTTTTTTTTTTTTTTTGGTGCCTTTTTCATCAGTCTCCATTTCTTGGTGATGAGAGGAGCTAAGAACTTCAAAGTGGGGGCTGTCACTGATATGTGTGCTTATGGCACAGACATTTATTATTCACCTGGTTGGTTCACTGATGTATCTGTAGCCCCTAGAAGAGTGCTTAGTACAGAGTAGGCACCCAATGATATCCATCAGATAAATATATGAATAAGTGAACGATGGAAAGATGGCAAGAGCTGGGTGGGGGTGAAGTATGAGAGTACCCGGCCCCCAAATTTTACACTGGAGCCCTCAGAGGATTCACCTCATAGCCTGTGCCTGACTCCAACCTGGTGGGAGTCTGAGAACCTGGTATGTGCCAGGCA